GTGAGTTCCAGGCCATCTGGGGCGACAGGGAGACCCTGTCAAAAAAAAAAACAAAACAAAAAAACCCTTGAGCCGGCTGTTTAGGCCCCAGCACTTGGGAGGCAGATACAGGTGGATCTCTATGAGTTTGAGGCCCGCCTGGTCTACATAGAAAGTTTGAGCCGTCTTATTGGCTCTCCTTTTTTTTTTGGTCTTTTTGAGACAGGGTCTCCTTGTAGCCCCAGCTGGCCTGGAACTCGCTATGTAGACCAGGCGGGCCTCCATCTCAGAGATCCTCCTGCCTTTGCCTCCTAGGTGCTGGGATTAAAGGTATGCATTAGCATGCCTGGCTTTTTTTCTGATTTTTTAAAAAATAAAATACTTGAAAACATGTTGACTATGGGGAAGCCTATTTCAGAATACTATTCAGAATACTATATTTTTTAAAAATTTTATTTATTATTTTTTTTTTATGTGTATGTGTGCATTGCCTGCATGTAGGTAAGTGCAATCCGTGTCGGGCAGTGCCAGTAGAGGTCAGAAGAAGCTGTTGATCCCCTGGGACTGGAATTTATGGACAGTTGTTAGATGCCATGTAGGTGCTGGGATTCAAACCCGGGTCTTCTGCAAGAACAACCACTGTTCTTAACTGCTGAGCCATCTCTCTAGTCCCCAGAATACTATTATTTCTATCCTATCTTTTTACTAATGTCTTTCCCTTAAATAAGAAGGTCTGGACTAGTGAGATGGCTTAGCATGTTAATGCTTTGCCCCCCACGCCTGATGACTTGAGTTCAACTCCTGGGACCCACATGGTAGGAGAGAAATGACTCCAGAGTTGTCCTCTGTCCCCCATATATGTGCCATGGTGTACATACTCACACACATACATAAATGAATAAGTGTAGTAGTTTTTAGAAAGGTCAAGCACACTTTTTTCTGATACATTTTTTATGAACTTTTTAATGATACGTTTCAAACACACAAATAGTATGGAGCCGTGAGCCCATTACCCAGATACAAAAAATTATCGTCTTCTGCTTAATCTTATTTCATTTGTATCCCTGCCCATCTCACCCACATTATATTGAATCAGATTTCAAATATAATTTCAGACCTCAAATACTTCTTGGGAACTATTTTGTGGAATATTTTAAGAGATAAAGTTCACTTTCCAAAAATTAGAACCAAGTTAGAAGTAATGTACAAGCATCAGAGAGACAGGAGTCAGAATGTTCACTTTCTGACTGATAGAGGTATTTTGGAGCCCTCAAATGCCCTCTCTGAATTGAACTTTAATGTGAAATCATTTCCTTAGCTTGGCAGAGCCTAATCCATCCACCCAACTTTCTATACAAAAGAGCAGAAACTGTGTTCTAGAGATACTGGACCTCTCCAGATTAAGAGGACTCTATAGGGTTGAACATGGATGGGCAGGCAGCCCTTCTTCCCAGCTACTTCTGCTCCCAAGGGAAGGAGTGTACAAAGGAGTGGACAAGATTGCGTGTTCCTTCCATTCTTTTCCGACCTGGGTACTCAAGGACCACTTCCCTGTACAGAGTTAATGATGGATCAGGAAGGGAAATATTAGGGCCTGGAGAGATGGTTAAGAGCACTGGCTACTCTTGCAGAGGACTGGGTTTCAATTTCTGGCACTCACATGAAGGCTAACAACCATCTTTAACTCCCATTCCAGGGGATCCAACACCCTTTTCTGACCTCCATGAGTCTTGCACGACACAGGTGCACTTACATACATGCAGGTATTACATATATACACATAAATAAAAATGATAAATATTTTTTTAAAAAGCCGCCTTTTGGACTGGAGAGATAGCTTATCCTCTTACAGAGGACCAGGGTTTGATTTCCAGCTCCCACATGGCAGCTAACAACCATCTGTAACTCAAGTTCCAGGGGATCCAACACCTTGTGACCTCCGTGGGCATTGCAGGACACAGGTGCACTTACACACATGCAGGCAATACACTAATATACATAAAATAAAAATAATAAATGTTTTTAAAAAGCCTTCTTAGAGTTTGAATGAATATACTAGAATATAAAAAACATGACCATGAAGCTAAAGACATTGTTTTTTTTTTTTAAGGGAGTGATAGTTTACATGTAACTAACCTTATTCAGCTTGACTTCTTGTTACTGAGTTAAGTGATTTATAAAAAAATGCTTTGGTGCACTCTGTATAATTAAGAATATTAGATTGGGGGCTGGAGAGATGGCTCAGCGGTTAAGAACATTGGCTGTTCTTGCAGAAGACCCAGGTTCGAATCCCAGCACCCACATGACAGCTAGCAATTGTCCATAACTCCAGTTCCAGGGGATTTGACAGTCTCTTCTGTTCTCCTCCAGCACTGCATGACTACATGCAGGCAATACACACATATACATAAAATAAAAATAGATAAAAAAATTATAAAAAGAATATTAGATTGGCAATAATTGTAAGTCAGATGTGGTATTAATACAGTATAATCCCAGCTCTTGGGAGGTAGAGGCAGAAATATCAGGAGTTAGCAGGTTCTAGGCCAGCCTGAGGTACATGAGACCCTGTCTCAAAACAAAATAAAAGCTGGAAGACAGAGACAGGCAGATCTCTGTAAGCTTAAGGCCAGTCTGGCCTATATATAGCAAGTTACAGGCCAGCCAGAATTACATGGGTGAGACCCTGTTTCAATAGTTAATAAGGTCATTAAACCAGTGTGGTTGTGCACACCTATAATCCCAGGACTAAGGAAGTAGAGGCTGGGACAGTACAGTATATTCAAGGTCACCTAGTATACATACTGAGTTCTAGGCCAGCCAAGGCTCCACAACAAGACTTTGTGCCAAAAACTCAAAAGAAAGATTGGCTCTGTTGGTAAAGTGCCCGCTGTGCACACGTGATGACCCTAGTACCCACATAAAGTCAGGTGTGGTGTTTCAGCACCTGAAATCCTAGTGCTGGGGAGGTAGAGAAAGGAGGATTCCGGGAACTCACTAGCTAGTCTGGCTGAATCTGTGAACCTCAGGTTCAATGAAAGACTGTGTCTCAAAACATAAGGTAGAAGGGCTAGAGAGATGACTCCTGCTGGGGATCTGAGCTCTGTTTCTAGCACCCATGTAGGATGGCTCGTAACTGCCCAGGCTGACCTCAAAACACTCTCTCTCTCTCTCTCTCTCTCTCTCTCTCTCGACAGGGTCTCTCTGTAGCCTCAACTGGCCTGAAACTCACTATGTAGACCTGGTTGGTCTCACTCTCACTGAGATTTGCCTGCCTCTGCCTCCTGAGTGCTAAGATTAAAGGTGTGCACCACCACGCTCAGTGAAACACTTTATTTAAAAATTTTTATTATTATTTATTTATTGTTTTATGTATGTGGGTGCATGCACTTGCATGTATGCCCTGCATGTGGAGGCCAGAGAACAATTTTCAGGAGTCAGTTCTCTCCTTCTACTATGTGGGTCTGGGAATGGAACTCGGATTAACAGGCTTGGTGGCAGGTACATTTTACCCACTGAGGCATCTTGCTGGCCCAGTTGACCCCCCCCCCTTTAAGTACTGGGATTATAGGTGGGAGCCAGCTTGACCAATTTACTCTTCTGATGAACTTCTCTCCCACCCTGGTACCTATTCTACTTTTTATTTACATGATTATTAAAAAAAAAAAATCTTATTAGCCGGGCGTGGTGGTGCATGCCTTTAATCCCAGCACTCGGGAGGCAGAGGCAGGCAGATCTCTGTGAATTCAAGGCCAGCCTGGTCTACATAGTGAGATCCAGGACAGCTGGGACTACAGGAATACCCTGTCTCAAAAAGACCAAAAAACAAAAACAAACTGAAGTTGCTAGTCACTTGCCATTTTTCTAGCTTGTCAGCAGTTAAAAACCAGACAGATTATTTATCGTAGAATGGATCCTAAATTAAAGTGCTTCAAAAAATTAGATACTAAAGATTTCAGAAGTGGAGCTTTGAAGTTGTTGCCTCAGTATGTCCGTAGTTCAAGGGGAGATCAGAGAGGCTCAGATAAAAGAGCTGTGTGCTGATAGAACAATTGCATAAGTGTGTTCTGTTAAAGAGACCCATCCAACTCCTGATGCTTCAGCCTTTACCTCCTGTCTGCTGGGATTATAGACCTGGGCTACCACACCCTGGAGATTAAAGCCAGGGCTTTGTGCATGCTCGACATTCTATCAGCTGAGCTATATCTCAAGCCCCAAAAAGCCTCTCTTAAAGAAAAATCTTGAGCTTCAGCTTGGAGAGATTTGAGTAACCTGGATGAGAAGTGAAGGGATCATGTGAAATCCCGTACCTAAATATGTGTTAATCTTAGAAAAGCCTGAAAGGGGATGGAAAGGTTGCTCAGTGGTTAAGAACGCAGAGCACACACTGCTTTTTCAGAGCACTGGAGTTCGGTTCCCAGCACACATCAGGTGGCTCACAACCACTAATGCCCTCTTCTGGCCTCTGCAGGTCAGTGTGTGTGTGTGTGTGTGTGTGTGTGTGTGTGTGTGTGTGTGTATACATTTATAATTATTATTTTTTAAATTTTGTGGGGTCTTTTTTTCTTTGTCTTTTTTTTTGTCTTTTTGAAGCAGGGTCTCCCTGTAGCCCCAGCTGTCCTGGAACTCACTATGTAGACCAGGCTGGCCTTGAACACACAGAGATCTGCCTGCCTCTGCCTCCCAAGTGCTGGGACTACAGGTGTGCACCATCACGCCCAGCTTTTCTTTGTCTTTTTGACCAGGGTCTTCCTGCAGCCCCAGCTGTCTTAGAACTCCTATGTAGGCCAGGCCTGACCTGGATCTCACAGAGATTCACCTGCCTCTGCTACTGAGTGCTGGGATTAAAGGTTTGTGCCACCACACTGGGCATTCATATAATTTTTTAAAAAAATAAAGCCTGAAAAATAAAAGGACTTTCCCCCCCATGACACACAATGAAAAACCTCACTCTAATTTCTAGAAAAATAAAATATTCAAAAGTGACAAGTAAATGAAGTTTAAATTTTATCTTTTCACAGGTGCTGGAGAAAACTTGGAGAATACAATGGCTGCCTTTCAGCAGTAAGTACATAGACAAGGCCTCTCTTACAGTTTATCATTAAGATGATGGTGATTCACAAAGAGGAAGCACTGTATATGTGCTGTTCACTTGTGATCCTTGTTTCTGTAAAATGGCTTTTTAAATGGTTTGAAGTATTGCAGAGTGTTTGGCTTCTGTATAATTGTAAAACTAGTCTAGATTTTGAATAGTCAAAAGATACTATATTTCCAAAGCCAAAAGATGATGTTTGAAACAAACAACATACTGTGAATAATGCTGATTAGTCCTGGAGAGAGAGAGAAAAGGAAGCGACTGTTAGGCTGACTGCTGCTGCTGAACACAGCACTGTCTTTGTACCCAGTGATTTTTGTTCAACATGAACCTGCAATCTGGTTTCTTCTCCGAACCCTCATGTGTCTTGATTTTTTTTTAAATTTTATTTATTTAAAAATTTTTTTAATTTTATGTGTATGTCTGTACTGCCTGCATGTAGATAAGTGCACCCATGTCGTGCAATGCCTGAGGAGGTCAGAAGAGGCTATCGGATCCCCTGGGACTGGAGTTACGGACAGTTGTTAGCTGCCATGTGGGTGCTGGGATTCGAACCCAGGTCTTCTGCAAGAACAACTGGTGTTCTTAACCGCTGAGCCATCTCTCCAGCCCCAATGTTATTTTTTTAATAAGATAAATGAAATTTGTAATTTTCATATAGATGCCTTTCAATGCATGTTGCAGAGAAACTGCAGGACAGATGAAAGCTAGTTGGCACCCTGCTCTTCGTCTTAGAGCCAGTGATTGTCATCAGTCTGGTAATTGTGAGAACACTGTTTTCCTCTCCCAAGTAACAAAACAGGGAATGTCACAGCGCCAGTGAAAGAAAGACATTGCCTGTTCACAGTTAGCGAGGGAAATATTTTCTTCTGCACTTTTAGGCTTTTTCTCTTTCTCTCTCTCTCTCTTTCTCTCTTTCTTTCTCTCTCCCTCCCTCCCTCCTCCTTCCCCATCTCCCCCCTTCCCACCCTTCTTCCCCCTTCCTCTCTCTCTCTTCTCTCATCTCTCTGTAGCTCCAGCTGGCCTGGAACTTGCTGTGTAGACTAATCTTGCATCAAACTAAACACTGGGATTAAAGATGTGCACTACCATGCTCAGCATAAGGCCTTAAAAATTTGTTTTTAACATGGGGGCATCTCTCTCTCTTTGTTGGGGTGGTCCCAAACTCTTCATAGGCAATTTGGAGCCATTTCTGTATATGTATTAGACTAAGAAATTGGGGGGGGGCAGTGTTTGTTGTGCTGAAGATTGAACCTAGAGCCTCCTGCATGTTAAACATGCACTCTACAGTGAGTTATTTCCTCCGCCCAAGAGTATTTGATGTAAGGCTCTGATTTTCACTGTTCACTGGTGTTCTGGTTTGTTTCTCCATTGCTGTGACAAAACACTCTGACCACTACCAACTTGGGGAGGAAAGGGTTTATTTGTCTTACATCTCCCAGGTCACAGTTCATCAGGGAACCCAAGGTAGGAATTCAGGGCAGGAACTGGGAGGCAGGAGCTGGAGCACAGGCCTTGGAGGATCACTGCTTACTGACTTGCTCCCCTGGCCCTTGCTTAGCCTGCTTTCTTATGCAACACAGGTCCACCTACCTAGGGGTGGCACCACCCACAGTGGGCTGGGCTCTCCTACGTCACTCATCAAGAAGATGCCCCTCAGACATGGCCACAGGCCAGTCCAATAGAGGCAATTCTCCAGTTGAGGCTCCCTCAACCCAGGTGTGTCAAGTTGACACTAAAGCTATCCAGCACAACTGGCATCTTAAAGATTATCCCGTCTATCAGGAAAATACCATGACCTAGTTTCCTCTGTGTTTTTCATCTTTAACTCTTTCTGGTGCCTGTAATCTCAAAAATCTCTTAAAAAAGTGCAAAATCTCAGACTGGAGAAATGGCTCAGTGGTTAAGAGCACTGGCTGCTCTTGGAGAGGACCCAGGTTTGATTCCCAGCACCTATATGTTGGCTCACAATCATCCATAACTCCAATTTCAGGGGATCCACAGGTAAGCATGTGGTGTACATATGTACATGCAGGCAAAACAATTATACACATAAAATAAATCTTTAAAAAAGTGCAAAATCGGCATTGAGGCACATTCCTGTAATCCCCGCACTAGGAGGCTGAGGCATGAGGATCAGGAGTTTGAGGCCAACCTGGGTTAATGAGTTCCAGACCAGTCTAAACTCTATCATGAGAGCCTATCTCAAAGAAAACAGCTGTAAGTCATTTTTTTTTTTTTTCTTTTGAGACAGGGTCGTTATATAGACCTGAAACTCACAATGTTCCTGCCTCTGTCTCCCAAGGGCAGGATCACAGCCTGTAATCCCAACACCCAGGAGGTGGAAGCAGGAGACTTTGAAGGTCAAGGTCATCCTTAGCTACATAGGGAGTTGGAGACCAGCCTGGACTATATGAGTTATTGTCCCAAAAACACAAAACTGCAGCAAAATCACAATTCATGGGCTGGGGAGTTGGCTTAGTTGATAAAGTGCTTGCTTTGCAAGCATAAGGACCTGAGTTCAGTCTCTAGAATCTAATAAAAATGCTGAGAATGATGGTGTGCATTTGTAATCCCAGCACAAGGAGGCAGAGACAGAAGGATCCCTGTGGCACGCTAGTCAGCCATTTTAGCCTAATTGATGGGCTCCAAGCCATTAAAGAGACCCGGTCTCAAAGGAGGTGAACAGTGTTTATGAAGATGACACCTCTGCACTCATGCCCACAGATGTGCACACACACATACACAAACACAAATATATACACATAAATGCATTTTAAAAAAATCCAATTTGTAGAAAAGCCCTTCCATGTGGTTTATAAAATGCTTTCAAAATGCCATGTTCTTTAAATTATGAGTATGGCTCTTCTGTTTCATTAGGAACAGGAATTTTTTTTCCTTATTGATCTCTCATTCTCTGACATCTTGCTCAGGCTCTGACACTCTCAAATTCTCACTACTTGGTTACTGAATTAGATATGGAATGGCACACCCCAAGAACAAAGCAGAATGTTAGCAAAAGACTAATGATAAAGGAGACAGAAACTGACCCCCCACCACCACCAAAGAATCAGACTGCATGCATGTACATGCAGATATATTAAGCCCTTGGGTATGTAAAACCTGGTGTGTGTTTGTTTTGCTTTTTGAGAGAGTCTCCCATAGGCCAGGCTGCCCTTGAACATACTATGTGGTGAAGAAGGGCTTTAAACTCCTGATTCTCCTATTCCACCTCCCAAGTGCTAGGATTACAGGCATGTACCACCATGCCCAGAAAAACCTGATTCTTAAGAGCTAATAAAACTAGGTTATTAAATTGGGCCGCCTTGGTAAATGCCCATAGGACATTGTGATCCCTGTGGTACTTACATTAATGGTAGCAGAATGAAGAAAATTGTATTAGCAATACCTGGAAGTGTAAGTTGGCAGACAGTCAAAGTGATTAAATTAATGCCCTGGTTCTCACGATATTTAAAAAAAAAAAAACTTTTGTATGGTTGGTGTGTGTGTGTGTGTGTGTGTGTGTACATGTGCTATGGTACATGTGTGGAGACTGTTGGGAGTTGATTCTCTCCTACTATGTGGGTCCAAGGGAAGGAACTCAGATTGTCAGGCTTGACAGCAAGTGCCCTAATTCTGTGAGCCATCTTGTCAGCTCCTTTGTTTTTTGAAACAGGATCTCATTCTGTAGCCCAGGTTGGCCTTGAACACCACATCCTCTACCTCTTAACCTCCCAAATTTTGGGATCACAGGATATACATCACCACACCCACCTTCTTATGATAGAATCTTTTCTACAACCAAAAGAGACCATATGTTTATTTAGACTTTGCTGTTGCTGGCCATGGTGGCACATGCCTTTAATCCCAGCACTTGGGAGGCAGAGGCAGGTGGATCTCTGTGAGTTGAAGGCCAGCCTGGTCTACATAGTGAGTTCAGGCCAGCTGTGTCAAAAAGACCCCCCCCCAAAAAAAAAGAAAAAAGATGACTTCAATGTTAACTTAAGTATAGCTGGCTCCACAAATCATAAGTTTTTTAGAGAGTCTAATTACTTTGATACTAATCACATCTGTGCAATGGTAATAATAATTTAATCTCAGTATTGTGTAAATGAAATTGAAATCAATTCTTTGACAATTTTTTAGGATTTTTTTGGTGTTTTTGAGACAGGGTCTCCCTGTAGCCCCAGCTGACCTGGAACTGACTATGTAGACCAGGCTGGCCTTGAACTCAGAGATCCACCTGCCTCTGCCTCCCAAGTGCTGGGACTACAGGCGTGCACCACCATGCCCAGCGATGTTTTTAGGATTTTTAAGAAAGATTTTATTTTGAGGCTGGAGAGTGTATACTGCTCTTACAGAAGACTCAAGTTTGGTTTCTAGTACCCATGTCTGTCAGCTCACAACTGTCTTTAACTCCAGCTCTAGGGGATCCATCACCCTCTTCTGGACTCTGGGTACACTTGTGCGTGCACACACACACACACACACACACACACACACGTGTGCGTGTGCTCATGCACTCAGAACGAAACCCAGATCCTCTGCAAAAGCAGTATATGTTCTTAACTGCTGAGCCATCTCTCTAGCCCTTGGAAGTTTGTGCATTATTTCAGTGGAGTTTCTTTTTAAATTTTTCTTTCTTTTTTTTGGTCTCTTTGAGACAGGGTCTCCCTGTAGCACCAGCTGTCCTGGAACTCACTATGTGTATACATGTTTTGCCTGCATGTATATGTGCATTTTTGACATGCAGTGCCCACAGAGGCCAGAAGAAGATGTCAGATCCCCTGGAACTGAAGTTATAGATGGTTATTAGCTGCTATGTGGGTGCTGGGAACTGAACCTAGATTCTCTGCAAGAGCAACCAGTGTCCTTAAGACACTGGTTGTCCATAGAGCCATCTCTCCAGCCCCATCTTCTGTTTTCTTGGTTTTTTTGTGTGTGTATGTGTGTATGTGTGTGTGTGTGT